TATACTTTTGCTAAGAAAGCTCAGCTCAAATATATTAATAGTTTGAAAAATCAATAAACCGAAATTAAACAACATTAAACAAAATTATCAAAATTATAAATTATTGAATTTTAAGCGTGATAAATATGAACTTTTAAAGTTCAATAGGGAATATACTATTCAGAATATGATACATTTAACAAGGTTCCAATTTTTTTTTAATAGAACCAGAAAGAATTTGTAAAAATGCAGAAATGGGAAGAAATATATGGTATTAAAGAATAAAGAAATGTCGAAGTTTNAGAGAGAGAGAGAGTCACTACGATAAAGACAAAGTGATGAAAACAATAAGTTTTAAGTGTAACTGGCACCGGGGTCACACAAGGTCAAGGGTGACATGTAAAAATATCTCGTGAAACGGGTACTCTCTACTGTCTCCTCGCCAACGCGACCCTCCAAACCAAGCAGCTATTTTTGAAAAAGAAATCTAAGGGGATTTTTATAAAGTGTAGGTTTTTTTTCTTTCTCTTTCTTTCTTCTTCGTTCTCATTATCATTTAGAAGATTTTGTTTGTTTGTTTGTTTGTTTGTTTGTTTTTCTTCAGTCAGAGACAAGACGAGTACATTTACTGCAGGCGAAATACTTAACCTACCAGTAACTGCCCCTAGCCCCGATCATTTTTTCTCAGCTCGATCGCGTCCTAGTTACAGACTTTCGCCTTTATACTTTTGCTAAGAAACCTCAGCTCAAATATATTAATAGTTTGAAAAATCAATAAACCGAAATTAAACAACATTAAACAAAATTATCAAAATTATAAATTATTGAATTTTAAGCGTGATAAATATGAACTTTTAAAGTTCAATAGGGAATATACTATTCAGAATGGTATAAAGAATATGGTATAATGGTATAAAGAATAAAGAAATGTCGAAGTTTACTTTTTTATAGGAACAGAATGGCTGTTATTCCCTGGCGCTGTATTTCACCTGCTTGGAGGTCTTCAGTTGGCTATAACTGACGTTCAGGTGTCCACGTTATTTCCTAAGGCACAAGCAACGCTCACCTGTTTGGTTTCCGGTGCTATTGATGTCAGTGGTTTTGCTCCTATTTTGTTAAAGGTGAGATCGTTCATACAAAGGCACAGGCACAATCACACACACACACACACACACACACACACACACACACACAGATTATACAAGCACACGAGTTTCTATGTGAGCCTTTAAATGTTATGAAACCTTATGCTAGTGACGAATGTCTACGGAAATCTCATTTTGATGGGACGCAGTTGTGAAAACAGCTTATAAGTCGACACCACTTATAACGGATACAATGTCCTGTGTAAACTGTAAAATAATACACGTGAAAAGGTTAGCAAGATTGAAGCATGCAAGACTGCGAGAAATAAAGACCGTTTTTCAAAATGTGATTTCCCCCTTTTTTTTTTTTTTTTTTTTTTGTTTTTTTGTTAAAAGATGAGATAGACCTAGATAAAATTCTCATTGCAATAAACGACATTAATGAACATGTTAACATTTTTCACGGTCCGTTCTAGTTGGCGTACCAGGCCGGAGTGTCGTATAAAACCTGTATGTTCACTTTTGCTGGTATCATACTTCTTATGTCCTCGTCGTTTTTTTTTTTTTTTTTTTTTTTTTTTTTTTTAATGAAACGAATGAAAGAAAACGACCGACGATTGTAGTTTACAATTATGCTCGAATGTTTATACATGTATGTTTTTTCCGGTAGAACTATGATTTACGATGACTCGATGTACTTTGTGATAAGAATCTTAGTAGAACTTTGTATGCACAACATGATACAGTAATTAACACATTTTCCATCACAACTATTACATTTCAGATTTCCAAAGGAATATTTGGGAAAGGCGTTTGGAATACAAGTTGCCGTCGCTCATTTGTTAGCTTTAATTCAATATCCAATATTTTCCTGGTACTTATACAGCCTGGAAAGTGACCCTCTCTGGGTATGTACAGGAGGAGTTTTTTAAGTAATCGTTGTTGCCTTCCAGTAGATAAGGCAATATAGGAAATAGCGAGTTTAGGTCACAAGTTTGTAAAACCACATGTACGACCAAATAGTTTAAGTGGCGTATTCAATAATATTAGAAGTGCCTATGAACATGGTACAAACTTGATCCTTTAGTTAAATAAAATGCAAGAAACGGTATATATGACCGAATAGTTTTACTGGTATTCCCAACCTTATTAGACGTTAGTATAGACAATTAAGGTACAAGCACTTAATTGCTTTCTCCACTTTTCGGTTGAATAAAAACTATATGAGGCTCGATGTTTTTGTGATCATATCTAGTTCCATAAAATTATAGCCGATGGTGCAACTATAGATTGTTAGTAATACGTTGATGACACTATGATATTAATAATACTTTTTGGCTTTGTAGTTGGGAGTACTGTTCCTGGGAATGTGCTTCACCGCCAGCTGTTTGCCTTTCTACCTCCTTTGGCGTCAGTGGTGTTCCACGCGGCATGACGGCTGCCAGCATTAGATAACAGCCAGGATATTAACCAAGGAATGGCAACGCGGCTCCCGCTCTGGCGCTTGACATTAGTTGTTCAACAATAGCAGTTGCATGGAGACATTGTGTTGGAATATATGGTGCCTTGATCAGGTGTAGGCCTACCCTTTCCCGCCCCTGTAATTTTTTATGGATTCAATGAACTGGACATGGGGGTGTTCCATAAAAAATGACCATTTTTCTTCTCCATCCCAGTGTACCACAAACTTTCATAGTACTATTCATAAGAAGACAGAAGGCAACAGAGAATATCGTTGGTTCGTGATTTGGCCAAACAAGGCTGCTTTCAATAAAATGTATATCCCCACTATCCCAATCATTTTTCCAATAATAACAATGTAGCAAATTGTTGCCTATATTAAATGTTATGGTCTTAGGGATAAAAAATATATATCAAATATTCAATAAGACCCATCATCCTAAAACTTATGATGTGACGAGTCAGCAAAATATATTATTTACATACAATTTTACTCAAATTTCGTTTGTGGGGTTGCAAAAGGGCATGCCGAGGCCATAATATTTAATACATAATTCTGTTTTGTGGGATATTGTCCCATTTAACTAAATGTGTAAAATGTGACTATTTTCACCCCTATTTTGTATTTTTTAAACATTAATAATGTGAGACATGGTATCTGTAATAAAAAGCACTATTTCTAACTATTTACAGCTGTGAGGTGATCATTTGTAAATAAAAGTACATAGAAATGGGTCTGGGACAACATTTTTGACCAATGATGTATGTCGCACACCTGGTACCTGTTAGCCCCAAATTTGCAGATGACATGGGAGTGAGTCATGCATGTCTGGAAATGGTATATAATGAGGGTTTTTGCTCATTTGTCTGGTTCTTCGTTGTGCCAGTTGGACAGGAGTATGTTTTCACATACATATAGGCCTACATGCATATAACAGATATGCTTTCCTTTTCTTTATCAATGTTTTTTATTCTTAACATCATTTCATCCACTTTATCCTATAAGAAACGTAACATATAAAATAATTCTTACCTATGTAGTTGTCTATGCTAACTTACTTTTTGCGAGGTAACCTTCTGTCGCATTTTCACACATTCTTGTGTATACATTGTAGGTACAACTGGAGAATAAGATATAATAGATATCAAACATATCATCGAAATGAATTAACTTTGTTGACATTGCATGATGATTCATGTGCGGTTAACTAACAAACAGTTGTTATATTAAATCCTTTGAGTGGGCGGTAAGGAATCCTATGCTTCACACTGTTTATTTTGTTTCGTGCTCTCTCTCTCTCTCTCTCTCTCTCTCTCTGTGTGTGTGTGTGTGTGTACGTGTGCATATGCGTGCAAGCCAACATCTTGTTTGAAACGTACTCATATTACTATCAGCATTTCTACAGTGTACTCAACGTTTGTTAACTTGATAGCATTCTTCGAGAGTCCCCGTCAGTAAAAACGCTTTGGCTTGTACGATAGATCCATTGCCATACACCGAAATTCTTCGTCGTTAAACCATTAATGACAAAGACGGGGTATAATGTCTACTAGTAATGTTACATTTAATGGCAGTTTGAAGAAGCAAAACACATTAAAGACTCAAAACACATTAACTAGTGCATAACTATGTGGCAGCTGTTGCGTAACTATTGGCACAAGGGGGCCACGGTGAAAGCAGACGACAGGCATGACAAATAGATCCATTGCACTACACCGAAATTCTTCTTTGGGGCTAACAGGTACCAGGTGTTCGACACGGTTGATACATACAAATTTGCTGATGACATTGGAGTGTGACATGCATGTCTGGAAATGGTACATAATGAGAGTTTTTGCTCATTTGCCTGGATCATCGTTGCACCAGTTGGACAAGAGTATGTTTTCACATACAAAGGCCTACATGCATATAAAAGACATGCTTTCCTTTTCTTTTTCAATGTTTTTTATTCTTATCATCATTTCATTCACTTTATCCTATAAGAAACGTAACATATAAGATAAATCTTAACTATGTAGTTGTCTATGTTAAATTGAGGTAACCTTCTGTCTCATCCTCATACATTTTTGTGTATACATTGCAGGCACAGAATAGGATACAATAGATGTGAAACATATCATCGAAATTAATTAACTTTGTTGACATTGCATGATGATTCATGTAGAGAAAACTTACAAACATTTTTTTAAAGTAAATTCTTTGAATGGGCGGTAAGGAACCTTATGCTTAACACTGTTCATTTTGTTTCGTGCTCTCTCTCTCTCTCTCATATTACAATCAGCATTTCTACAGTGTACTCAACGTTTGTTAAGTTGTATTCTTCGAGAGTCGTCGTGAGTAAGAACGCTGTGGCTTGTATGATAGATCGATTGCCATACACCGAAAGTCTTCTTCATTAAACCGGTTAATGACAAAGACGGGGTGTAATGTTTACAAGTAATGTTGTATTTACGTCATTCCTAATGGCAGTTTGAAGAAGCAAAACACATTAAAGACTCGCACCATTGGAGTAGCTAGCGCATAACTATATGGCGGCTGTTGCGTAACTATTGGCACAAGGGGCTACGGTGAAAGCAGACGGCAAACATGGCAAACACGTGTTGGAAGCTATTGTGTACCGTTCTGGGTATCTTAGAGGCTGCTCTCTACACTGTCACGGTCTTCGGATGGCCAGCACTTGTTTTCATGTTCGTAGAGGAAGGATTTTACGGTGATCGTTGTTATTTTGGTTCAATAACTAACAGCTCTGATTGTCTTGCTACTAGTAACTGCACCCAAGAAGCAGCCGAAGACGCCCGAGTTCAAAAATGTACTGAGCAAGAAGAGCTGCTGAACCTGGTTTACACTGTTACTATCATTGGTTTGGTGTCTTTCCCCGTGCTTGGATATATTTATGATCACTGTGGAACCGTTTGTGTGAGGATCCTATGTATGTAAGTATACTGAGATCAGAGGAGCTACAGGTCTGAATTATTTTTCTTATTTCTTGGTTATCTATATTCGGTTTGACACTGAGCTATAATAGACACATGTATGACGTTTTATTTCAGGGTGATCGTCCTATTAAAGCAATGGACCGTGACATTGACAGGTCAGCGAAAGGTGCGAAAAACTGGCATTTAAGTCTCGCTGTCAATATTGCAATATTACTATTTTCAGGATCACCGTCAAGTCTATATGGGTTTATATATGAGTTGCGTGTCCATGTGTATTAAACTTGACTGTCACGTTATAGTGGAAAAATATATGCTTGACTTTTTGTGATCCCTCTTGCTCTTTAAGAACATTTTGGAAATCATATGAAAACGTTTCATGGAAACAAGGCGGCTATTTTAATAGACATTAAATCGGAAGCAGTAAATGCAACATTTGCTTAATCCTTGGATTTTTGCTTTAAGATGCCTTTGCGCTGGTGGATTCTTCCTGATGGCGTTAGCAGAGAGAGGTAGGAAACAAAACGAGACTTTTCTAAAATATATACCAACTTGTAAATAGGTCCTATGCCAACTTATAAAGCCAGTAAGTTTTCTAAATGAAAAAAAAAACGTGCTGTCACAGTCTGTAAAATAAGGTTAATGTGTAATTGGCGCTGAAAAGAAAGCCAGGGATTAGGGAAGACACCAATATGTGAAGGTGACTCACTAAACAGGTGCACTGTACGCATGAACCTCAATAAAGAGAAAAGTTAATTTTGTTGAAATTAAAATAAAAACACCATTTAGGCATAGAGCGTAAAATGTTTTGTTCGAGCTTAACTTTGTCGTGGACTTGAAAAATATGGCGACAAGGCACTTACATATACAGTGGCGGTACAAAGCGCACCCATAGATCCCTTATGTTCAGCGAAGGAGATTATCTTAGGCCCTATTCGGAAAAGATAATCCGCGTACTAACTGATGCGCCGATTAATATGACTGACCACACTTTAAAAGCGATACCACTGATTCACTCTAGTCTCCCTCCTTTACACACATTATTACAAGGATTTAATCTCGTCTCTGAGGTTTAATTGCTAGGCTCCTGCATCGACGGTGCATGGGGAGACCATCGTGGAATTATAGAGACATCGCTTTTGAAGAGGGGTCACCCATATTTAGTCTGCGGTTCAGTTAGAACTCGGATCTTTTATTCTGAATGTCCCCTGTACACGCTATAAAAATTATATTTAAAAAAAACAAAAAGACTTAATATTTATCATTTAAATTTGCAATAAAGAAATAATAATTGTTTTCATCTTATAGGATCAGAATGGCTGTTATTCCCTGGGGCTCTATTTCACCTGCTTGGAGGTCTACAGTTGGCTATAACTGACGTCCAGGTGTCCACGTTATTTCCTAAGGCACAAGCAACACTCACCTGTTTGGTTTCCGGTGCTATTGGTGTCAGTACTTTTGCCCCCAGCTTATTAAAGGTAAATGACCTATACATAGCTTCTCTGACAAACAAGCACATGCACAGGTAGGCAAGCATCAGCCTACATCAGCAATTGTGGCAGCAGCACTGCAGGAGAGTGACCAGGATTATTTCAAGGGGTCTGCATATGTTTAGACCCCCCCCCCCCCCCTTGGCGTGGGGTTCGTGGCCCGGTAAAGAGCCTGTTAAACGTTGTATTTAGAGGGTGAACGGTGCCATTTGGTATGATGTAGAACTTTTATATGTCCAGACAAAATTCTTATTTCAAGAGTGAACGATTGGTTAGATTTATTTCTTAGAAATCGAAGGAGGGGGTCAGGACCCACTATACTGGCACAGATAATTAAAAAAAAGCTTCAAATGTATGATAATTTGCCTAAATTATCTATTAAAACTGTTAATACACAAAATCGCTATGAACAATCAATAAATATATAAAAACGCATCTCAGCGATGTAGGATCTATGGCAATCTTTTTTCAAAACCAATTATCCTAGCTGGTTCTTTCTTAAAAGGCCTATGCGAATAAGACCTTAAGCAGATTTTGAATATTGCCTTTTGCACTAATGACTATGTGTAAAAGTGTCACAATCTTTTCCAGGTGGCCTACCAGGCCGGAGTGTCATACAAAGCGTGCATGTTCACCTTTACCAGTATCATACTTCTTCTGTCCTCCGTCAACACAATCACCCTTCCACCCAGACAAGATGACGACGGGAACAACATTGACATAGCTTGTTGCTTAAAGATACGCAAAATATACAACAGTTCCATAGAATTGTCAACATTGTGCAAAGAAAATGGTACAAATGTCGATTACAAGATCAACAAAGCTGATAGTAATGAAATTGTATTGGACAATAAGGAAAATGTATTTCAAAATTATGGGCAATGCTTTGGCAGCGCAGCATACACAGCAGATGACGCAATTACCCGACCGCAACTAGAATCTGAACTTGATGTCGATAATAACACTTGTAGTCAAAACGAGGACGATGTCAATCCCAAGGAACCCTGTGTTGACGGATGTACGCACGTGGTCCCCGACGCAGAAAACTCTGAAAGTGCTGAAGAAGACAAAGGCAGTGACACTAGCATTCCTCAAGGCTCGCTACTGATCCTTAAACGTCCTGCTTTTTTAATGCTGATGCTGTGGTTTTTGTGCCAACAAACCCTCATTGTCACATACTTAGGCAGTTTTTACTCAATCATCAATTACTACGGAAATAATATCAAAAGCACAGGTAATTCATTTACATATATATTACTTTAGTTTCTTTTTCAATGTTTGTCTGAAGAAGGAATTTTGGTCCAGTCTCGCAAACATTTTTATTACTTTTCATAACTGTTCATTTAATCATATCTTAATTACGTTACAGTCAGTACGTATACGGACGTGTATTCCTGGCTCCAGGTGGGTTCTCTGTTCTGGGCCTTGCTGACTGGTTTGATGCTGGATAAACTTATTGCCAACACAAACAACGACGGTACTTAACATGATGATGAAGTAAACTAATCTTTAAGTGAATCAGTTTATGTTTGTTTGTAGTATGTTCGCCTTTTTTTTTTTTTTTT